CTATTACCTTGAAGGATGCAAACAGTTAAAGGATATTGGGAAGTGTACCTTCCCATTATTGAATGTAAATAATGATTGTGCTTTGAAAATGTTGGAATGCAATGTCATGTGTCTAAAAGCCAAGAATGCCACAAATATGATCTTAAAATTTATTTTACTTAGAACTCAATGGATATCTCACTGTACTGTATTGTGTATACATTCACTTTTTGGATGTTGTATAACCCTGCGAAGTATTTAAACAAAAATAATTCTCTATATAAGGAAATAGGTACTCTACAATAACGCTGATGTATTCCTGTCCTTGATCTGAAATTTAGATCCTACTTTCTCTGATAAATAGTTTAAAAAATGAAAAGATATAATGCTTTATGAGATAAGCATGCATCCTGAAAATGCTAATCTTTTGAAGTTCTCTTTTCTACAATAATTATTCTTTTTAAATTTACCATCAGAATGACTTCATGTTTTTTTCCTAGTATTCTGTCCTTTTTCTACATTCTAATTGCATTTGCATTTATTTTTATTCAAACACTTGTGTTGCAAATTTTTTTTCTTTTAGTCAGACAAGACTATCTGGACTGTGTCAAAACTATGTTTTACTTTGGAAAGTCTTCACCAATGTCTTACATTAAGTGAAAAGCTACAGGGACAAGGTGTTAATAGCCTGTATAACAACTCAGAGGTTTCTGTGCACAAAAGAAATTGACTATCTGTTGAAGCACTAGGAAACTTCTTCCAAAATCTGTGGCATGATCAAGATCTTGTCAATATTAAAATAACTGTGTCATAATGGATGATCATTACAACTTTGTTTACTACTAATAATCATGATTATAACAAAAAAGAAGTTTTTTACAGATACTGAGTAAGCTAAGGATCCTGACATTTTGCCTTCTAATAGGAAAGGTATTTTTTTAAGTGATTGGGTCTAGTAGATTCATTTATATGCTAGAGATTAACAAGTAGTGGTACAATATGTCTATGATACATTAGGAAAACTGAATTCTCTGTTATTGGAGGTTTAAGATTAAGCATTTGTTAAAAGCACTTGAGACACAGCTGCTCTTGCTCCCATACTGAGACAGGAGAAAGATCGTGTGAATGATTTGTATGATTCAACAGAACTCATAACAAGTTGGAGTTAGAGGTCTGAAGACCATCTTAAATGGTGATGGAAAGCAGTTGTGATGAAGTCTAGCTTTAACCGCTGTGGTATCAAATACAAACCCAAGAGACACTTCTACCCTTGTCTATGCAAAATGTGTAAGCAGACCCTTAGTAACTCCAGTTCATTCAACAAGACAAAAAGGGAGCCAGCTTTCTGAGCATATGCTTTCTTACTAAATTGAATTTTGGAGTTTTGTATGTTTTGAGTCCTTTCTCCCTTAGTCTGCGTGTCATCAAGAGCAAAAAAAGACTCATAAACCCTTGCTTTGCTTATAATTCCAAACTTGGTCTTCCAATCAAATACTCACCTCTCAGCCCAATCTCTTAACCCAGACGTACTCTCACCAAGTGTTTTAGAGTTTCAAATTTTTCTTCCAAATTCTGGCAAGAGAAGCCTCACAAAAGGAAAGAGATTTCAACTGGATTCACTGTTTATTTCTGTGAGGATTTCACAGTATTTGACACTCTTGTAATCTCAAATCCCAGATTAGTCTTGTTCTTCATTAACATTTTTCTGATTTATGCCGTCTTTTTTCCTGAGCACATGGCAATTCAGAATAAGAAAATGGTTTTAGCTCTTGATCCTCTACTTCTTTATTATAGCCACTACTAAAAAGTTAATGTTGATTGAAAGAACTGTGTAGCTTTACAGTAGTAAATAAATACTTGTTATTCATTGTTGGAAGTTATACAGCCACACTTCTCCTGGTGGCAGATAAAACAGCAAACTTCCATGGGTGTCTAAAATGTCTTAAGAAGAATGGAAAACATATTGTTTCAGGTATATCTATATATTTGAGTCAAGACAGTTAAGACACTTCAAAAAAACTCGTAACCCATTAGTCAGTTAAAATTATGTTTGACGATATCTACAGTTCTTTATGGTTGATGGATAAATCAGGGCAAATTCTCATCATCTTATGTTGAATACCAGAAATTTACCATGCCCTCTGGAAAATACGGTGATTCTCAGCAACAGAAAGTGCACAAGGACGTTTACTATCGTGTCCTCATGTTACTGGGTGAGGATAAGATCATCACTCTTTATGGAACGTTTGTTTAATGCCTGGATTTAGTAAAGGATATTATGAGCTAGTTTCTTGTTGCCGTTTACCATTTGTAATCAATCTGGGATTTTTCCTTCTTTTAGAATTATGGAATACCTTGACAGATACTCTGTGACACTTAACTAGTGATGCCATGAAGAACTCCGAATCACTATATACCGATGATGCATCAATATTTCCAAGTGTTTTTCGAGAAGATCTTAAATGCATTCACACTTTATTCTACAATGCTCTGTATGTACAGTAACCATTTTTCTGTGCCATTTTACACTAGGTTATTCTACAAATTTCATGGTAACAGTCTTATTACATTCCAAAAGGCCAAGTGGCAACTGGATATCAAAAGGATCTGCCTTACTCTGTCATCTGAAAAAGTAAGCAGCAAGCAGTTTCAGTCCAGTGTACAGATTTGTAAACTGCATACCACTAGTATGTTTTAGGACATTTCTGGAAGAGACAAGCCAGCCCTCGCAATCTAACAGCATAAGATAGTAATCTATAAATGGACTTTTTTATTTGCGCTGGCTTTTATAAAATTAAAAGGTGATTGATATTAGTCCTCTGTTGCTTACCAGCCTGGGCTGCAACACCAAGGACGCTGTTGCATCTTCCACAGCCAGGAGGAAATGGCCTGCCTCTTGTAGGCAGGGTCGGTACCTTGAGTTGATTAGTAATTAGTTCATTATCTCAACTCAATCCAGCTGGGTAATAATGACTGGTTGCCATAGTCCTCCTTCTGATCCTAAGATGTATGCACCCAGTTAAAAATACTCTTATACAACAACTTTGTGTTTCATGTAAGGAAACGTGCTTTGTATTAGGATGTTAAGTTATTGTGACTGTGTGCTTTTACATTAGCTTTTATCTTTTTATTCTGTCACTGGAGATTACTTTAAAAAATGGAGATTTTTGTGCAAAAATATTAATGGTCATTGAGCAAGTGTTCTAAAGGTCATTTAGCATCCTGCATCACAAGCTGCAGAAGTAATTGGATATTTAGACTTTGTATTTATTGGTTGCGCCCATAACTAAAGCAACAAATTACAATGAACATTTCAGCTGCTGCCCAAGAGCAGAATCTGGTATCACTGACTCAAAGCCCCAGACCAGTTCTGGTGTTCGGTTAGATGTTTCTATTAGGCAAACCCCTCTTGAATTGGATTCTGCACCTCAGAAAGGCAAATTTTCTCAGTAGAAGCAGCAAAATGGGCAAGAGACAGAAGCAGATATCATGGGAGTTTTCTCCTGCAGGCTGAGAAAGAGCTACTTGGAGTACTAATGCTCCTATGACGGAAAACAAGATCTCTCTGAAATATAGATTGAACTTTTGGCACAGGCTTTTACTATAAACCATTGTTACTCGTTTAAGCTACACCCAGAACTGAAGTAAGCAAAAGAAGCACAAAAGCTAAGTGAAAGAGAAAATGGGACACCATAGTCAGGATCTCTAATAGCTTTTAGCTGCTTTTGTGAACATATCTCCAAGCAGCGTGATAAATTCGTTGGTGTGATGATTGAATCTTACAGCTATAGAGGTAATATTACAGTGAAGTCTCTACTTACAGGGAGTCATCACAATGCAATGTAGAGTAACAGTGGAAAACTCAAGCACCTGTCCTAAAAGAAACAGTTGTATATTCTGTCAGCCAGAGAAGATAATAGGTTGTTCTTTTCTTTAAATGAATATTCAGAAAAGTGCTGTGTTAGCCCAAAGAGGAAAGGTGTCTACATCAGATCATGTCCTTTTGTAGCTGTGCTTAGATCAGTAGGCAAAACAAAATTACACCAACAGAGGTGTCACTCCCTCCCAAGTTAGTGAGTGGAAAGAAGCTGCTATTGAGATTAGTGCTTTTTTTGCCCTTATCTTCTGGGGAAGTGGTGTAATTGGATTTTTTTAATTAACGTATAGACATTGTATTAGAGCACTTATGGACAGCAAATTGATAAGAAACATTGCTACATTAAAATTTAGCAAAATAAAATTAGTCTTTTACACATTCCTTTTAACAAAGCCATATTGACCAAGTTGAAAAGTGAACTGTACTAAACAAATTTTCAAAAAATACTGCTTCAGTGATGTAGACTAAATATGAAATCTGAGTCCAGTGCAATCAGTAGTAAATTTCCTACAGATTATGTACAGCCAAGATTTTTGACCTAATTACACAGAATTAGTCAGTATTAAGTTGGCAATTGTGTCCCAAGGCATCAGAGACGTTTCAAATTAAGTAGAGTTACAAGATGACAGCAACAGTTAAGTAGTGGTAGAGGTAAGAAGGTACCGTTAATGATATATATGACTGTCGGCATGGAGAATGAATTTTTTTCCCAACTTCACAAAAAATATCGCCTAATTTAAGAAAAAAAAAAAAGAACAATCTGGGAAAAATATATTCTGTTAACATATTTACTGACAAAACAGTCCAGTCACTGAACTCATAAGAGCTAACATGATGATAGTTTATTTTCTTAAATACAATATACAGAATCATAAGACTGTGAAGATACGTCTGTCAAATCTGAGAAGTGAATGTCACAGCCACACTAAACAAAAACAATAAACCACAAATATACTAAAACCAATGAAATGCTGTAAGTTTATAGTCATCAATGATTTTTAAAATTATTAACAATATCTAAAATTTCACAAATTTGTAGTAACACATTTATACTAGTGCTAACTTGCAATAAATATACTGTAGATAGGAATTTGTTCTATCATTTGTCACAGATCATGACATCATTACACTTGAACTAGTCTATGAAATAAGTAACAAAGCTCAATATGTTTACTATTCAGTAACTACAATCACTAACATCAGGAACAATTATCTCCTGAAATTATTTTCATCCCCTTCTGTGTAAGTTAGCATATATAAGTACACTTCTCTATTTAAGTTAAATTATCTAGCAAAATTACTGGCAATATTCGCTTTTAAATTACCGTGTTCATCTTTGAAATCCTTATGCAAAATCCTTTGAAACAGCTTCTATAAAATTTGGAGCAGACATGAGTATTGTAAATGTGCAAATGATGGCAAAAAGGGTAAATGCAACCAGGCACAATCTGTCTATGACAGCAGCTGCAAACTTCCACTCACTGCAGATCTCTTCACCCTCATCTTGTTTCCTGAAGCGCATCGCTATGAACTGAACTTCCTCCAGGATCTTCACAATCACTGGAATAGTATCCATTACAGCTTTCTTTTGAACAAGCTCAATGTCTTCTGGTAAGGGGCAAGTAATCTTTCCGCTCTTGCTACCCAGGTCGTTCTTCGGGGGGCAGCACGGGTTTTCCATTGTGTGGTAGCTGTAGATTGTGTTACCATTGCTGGGCTGATGCCCAGGTAGGACATTCATCTCCATGCTGTTTACACTCAGATGGTGCTTGGGATAACTGTATTTGCAAGAGAGGGGATTTATATTTTCCCCAGGTTTT